TTGTCCTTTTGTTGTCCCATTTTAAACTAGTGCTGGGACAAAACGGGACGGTTCGGGACGTCCCAAATAATTGTAGTGAAAAAATTCCAATCCCAAAAATGAAGCAAAGCTATTTGGAAAAACTAGCGTAAAAAAACTGTATGAAAAAAGTTGCAGCTAATCTTGAAATTTTTGTGAGAAAAAATGCAACCTACCAAATTAGCCGCAACAAACAAAAGTTGCAGGAAAAAAACTCTAACAAAAAAACTATCAATAAATCTGTAAAAAAAAATGATAAAAGAATACTATTAGAGGTGAAGCCTTTGGGAGTATAAATCAATTTCTTTTTTTTTGCAGATAGATGATAGCTCATAATTCATACTAGGTAGTTTAGAGTTTTTTAGATGCTCTGTTGTTAAACAACTAGTATCTTAATAATCATTGATATTTGGGTTTGTGGAAAAAGGATATTTTTTATTATTTGGATTACATAATGAGTTGTTGGTAGACCTCACTAACCTACTACAAAGTATAATTTTGGATTCGGGACAACAGGACGGAACAAAATATATTTTACTTGTTCCGGACCCATTTTGTTTAGAAACGGTTCAGGGCCGGTACGGGACTAAAATAATGTTTCCCAAATATAACGGGACAATTTCGGAACGGAACCGAACATTCCGGAACGGATAAGGTCTTTTGCCCACCCCTAATTACTTACGGTTTTACACACGGAAAAGAAACAAAAAACCGTCGCTGAAAAAACAGAGGCGGAAATAGTTATATTATTTGGATATGTTAACTAATGATAAATCAGATACTAAATTAATAATATAAGGCAGAATTAAAACTAATAATTAATAAGGTGGATTAAGAAATAAAGTGGTAAGATTAATCAATGTGAATAATATATATACTTCCTTCGTTTCTTTTTAGTTGCAACAGTCAACCTTTGCACATTTGCCAACGCACACTTTTGACCGTGAGTATGTCTTAATCTCTATTAATAAAAAAATATTAAAAATCAGATTTTGAAAATTGGTATTGAGATGAATTGAAAAATATTTTTTTAAAAAAATAATTTCCATAAAATAATAATGTAAAATGTAGTCAAAGTAGATTATGTGAACAGTGCAAAAAGTCAACATGCTGCAATTAAAAAGAGACGGAGGATAGTATATAAAGGGGGAATGGGAAAAATAATTGAGAAAAAAAATATATGATTAAATATTTCATCTTAATCAAAAGGCGATTACTTAGAGACCGGATTAGAGGAGGAGAACTAGAAGCTTCAGGAGTTAACGTAAATTTCTTTGCCAACCAAGATTGTTATTCTTCCTCGTATTATGATTTTGTGTAAGTTTCTCTGATCTGATAACCAAAGTTATTATGTTTCCTCATATTATATGATTGTTATGTGCTATGTGATTAAGTTATGAGTTTTGAATTATATATATGTATTATTTGAAGTGATATTAAATATATATTATTATGAGAAATATGAATTGAGTACTTTGGTGTATTAAATATTTTTAAATGCCATTTAATCCAACACTATTATGATAACCGAGTTATTAGTTATATATTAAAATATCCGATTCATTAATTTATAATATAATACAGTAGTAGTACTCTAAAATATTCAAATCATAATAATATTATTAAAATATCCGATTTCTTTAATCATGTTAATTTATTAATCCAATTTGATTAATCCAGTAATTAGTGTAAATCCTATCTATCCAATTTAATTTAATCTAATTAAGGTATTAAGTCCGAATTAATCATTATTTTATTAAAATATTATTATTACTATTGATTAAATAAAAAATCAATTCATTTTATTATTTTATATTATGCAATTATCTGAACTATGGGTCATCCGGAAACAGTCTCTCTATGCTGCGGGGTAAGACTGCGTACATCCGACCCCCCTTATCACATCGTAGGTGAGAGCCTTTGCAGCACTAGGGTTAATGATTTTTTTTTAATTATCTCAACTAAAAAGTGACAAATTTATTTAAAGATAAACATAACCAGTTTTATTGGCCAAACAATTATTTATTATCATAACTCAATGTTATTATCATTATTCATATTCTTATTATCAATCATTATTATTAAATCAGCCCAACAGATTATTAAAACATGTATACTGTCCAGACTTAAAAATAAAGATATATTTTGGGATTTAATCCCTAGTATAACTTTGGAGTGAATTCTTTTGCAGAAGAATTTTGGAGTATTTATGAATATGAATTTTTTGTGAACGTAACTATTAAATAGATATGTTGGATGACTATAGAGATACATGATTTTCCATGAGTGAAAAATATTTTCATAATGATTATTGACATCTCGAGATAAACACGAGGTGTGGATAGTTAGTTCTATATACCGCGGGTGTAGTTAAACTCCTTGGATTTTTGGTGGCGAGAGAAATGCCAGTAATTTTTTGTGATGGGAGAAATCCCGGTAATTTTTTTTTGTGGTGGGAGATCTAATCCCGATATTTCGTTTGAGGATTTTAAAAGTCCTTTGGTGGCCGCGGTAGTAGTTCGTAATTATCCGGGTATCTAACCCTTTGTAAAATAAGGAGATTCTAATCCGAAGTAGTTGGACTTCTTACTACTCAAAGAGCTTGGAATCCCTTGTAGGGTGAAGTTTAGTTTTCAATTGGTGGTCAGTGGGAGTCAGAATTTCGGGATGAGTGATATACAATAACGACTCATTGGGCTCAAGAAATCTTGAGTTTCACCCATCTTAAAAGAATTTAGGAGTGACATTGATTTTAATTTGGAAAGGTCATATTTGAGCTATAAAAGCTATTTTTGGAAAGTGATGATTTTTTTTTGAAGAAGGGGGCTTAAATTGATATCAAAGCATTAACATTCAGAAAGGGGGTAAAAAAAGTAAGGAACCGCATACAACCGTCAGCCCGCGAACCAGACTCGGAGTTAATTAATCACCTTCAAACAAGGAATATAACTCGTTGATCCATTAATGGACAAACCTGAGCCACAGACGATTGAAGCAGACCAAGCTTCACCCAATCCTAATGCAAGAGTCTTACAATAATAAGAGTAAGCAACAGAAAAATAAACAGACTGAGCATAAAAAATATAATGCAAGCAAACGGTAAAAATAAAAAGATGCTTCCAAACCCTAGACTCTCCTACGCTCCATGGCGGCGGTTCAGGAGGTGGACGATCCAGCAGTACCAAAGCTTCTTCCTCACGTTGCCTCTTAATCATCAGGTTCTCTACCAAGCCTCCTTTGACGCCACCTAATATAGATGACATCGAATCCAGATCTGTTCCAACCAAACTCATCCCTGCTGCTTGCGACCGAAATAAGCGAACAAGCAGCAATCGAAACAGGACATCAATGCCGCCTTCCTCCAACGATCTCCTTCCTCCGCGCTCGAGAATTGAGAAGCCCGACCTTCGAGAAATCAAACTCGATAGGCCGCAGAAGGCAAGCATGCCGCGAGGAAACAAAACGCAACAAGGACTCCACAAAACTCAGCCCCACACTGTCGAATACTCCAGGAATCCCGACCGCAACACCACTCAAGCCAGAAAAATCGGCCGAAGCCGCCGGAACCCACGGCCCAAAAAGACCGCCGCCGGAGAAGGGCTAGGCTAAACCTTGGAAAGTGATGATTTGAAAAGTGATAACCCATTTTTTATGGAGATATGAATTATTTAAAGCTTATAAATATTATTTTTATTATAAAACGATTTTCAAATTATAAAGTTGTTTTGGATGATAAATGATGTTTTTGATATGAAAATATACTTTTGGAAAGTAAATGGAATTTTGAATCTACGTTATAGTATAAAGAACTATTTTTTTGAAAAATTATATTATTTTACGGGTTTGGGTTCTACTTACTTAGCTTTCGCTAATTTTACTCTTTGTGTGTTTCCTCCCTTTGTTTGATGAGTCACGAGGGCGTTTTAGAAGATTATAGTGCAGCTTCACTGATATTAAATAATGCTATTTAATTTGAATATTAAGTTTTAATTTGGTTGAACTCATGGTGGATAACCTTAGCATCCAACCAAGTCGAGGGCTGGGTGTGGCGGTGACAGATTTAGTTACAGAACCATCGCTAATACTCTGTGAGTATTTGAGCGTTTTTTGTAGTATAGGCTAAACCTCTACGGGGTTTGGATTTGGATAAAGTTAAGGTTAGTAGGTGTTCCTTTTTTGAAGGATTACTGTGTTTTATCCAATATTGAATTGAATTTAAATTAGAAAGCTTATCCAATATTTGTGGCTAGTTGTTTGAGATGAAATTGAATGAGTAATTTGTGAAATTGATCACTTCACTTGGATTTTTGGAAGTTAAATTCTTCCTTGACTATGAATTTAGAATTAATTTAGCTCATGCTTCACACATGCCCTAAACTAAGTCTAGAAATATCACTTGTTAGGGGAATTAATATTACTTTCTTGTCTACGAGAATTGATATCTTAGTATCTTTAGATCGGTGAAAATTTCCCATATCTGTTCATAAATCATAATCAAAGACATTCAAGATCCTTAATCTCAAATCTAGACTTCACTTTTAATTACTTAATTTATTGTTACTAGTCACATTGAATTTACCTTTTAGTATTCTATTTTGCTTTCTTCATTCACATGTTCCATAGTTTAGTATTTCAAAGTCTTTTTTTTTCTCAAAATATATCTCTTGTTCGCTAGCTAGTATTCTTTACTCATCAATGCAATTTTTTTAATTTAGTTGTTACTTGTTAGTACTTCTATTCATACTAAATATTGAAACTAACACTTCCGTCACTCCTAAGAGATACGATCATACAATACTAGGGGAGTAGGGGATAAACTTTTCATCCTTGAGGGATAAACTTTGTTTTACAACGCCAGGAAAGCGGGTTATCGGATAACATGATATGAAGTGGCACTATCACGCGCATGGTGATTCTAGTCATTAAATGGGATTTTTGGATACACATAGGGCATATAAGTAGCTTGAAGTTAAAAAAATTACCTTTGTGGTTTTTGATGGCATATATATATAAGAGCGACTGTAGAAGAGCTGTTTACATGCGAAGTCTGGAATAGAGGAGCGCACGCTGACGTTGAACTCATCTGCCATAAACTGGAAAAGTTAGTCCATGAGAATAATTGAGCTTAAGGATCCACTAAAGGAGCGAAATTGTCACCTGGTCTCCTTGAGCTCAGGAAAGAATAAGCAGGTGGTGAGTAACTTGGCTTAACAGAAAAGCCATTCTCGTCATACACGAATGCTTCAAACGTGAAATTACCGATGTGTCTGAATAGAGCATAGCCACCCAAGAGGATATTGTTGTCTATGATGAACTGATCAAAGCCATCACAAAAAGAGAAGTTTTCAAATATGACATTCCACTGGCCAAGTCCGTGTACAAGGAGAGCCTCTGATTTGGTGTGTTCAAAGAGGTGCCTTTGCATACAACTAGGGATTTTCTAAATGAAAAATAACAAACAATGTACGTAGTTGTTAGTGAAATAAAATTAACAATAAATTACTGCAAGTTGAATTAAAAATGGTTTGAATATGTACGGCGATGTGAGGCTCTTTGATGTCAATAAGAAACCAAGCAAGTGTGGATTGGAGGACATCTGGAAAATGGACAGTGATAGACTTTGGGCATCCTGCGAATGTGCAACAAGAATTTTGAAATTAAGTAATAGGAAGGAATGATATCATCATCGTCGTCAGTACCCCAATGCCACAAAGGCTTCCACCTACGGTAAGTGGGGATCGGATGTACGCAGTCTTACCTCTGTACTAAAGAATAATTAAAGAGACTGTATTGAGAGGTACTTTAAAAAAAAATTAACCACTAGAAGGGATGTATAATTAAGTAACAAACCTGCATTGTAAGTCATGGGTAGATCTTGATGCACAAACCTGCTTAGTTTATGCTCCAACTCTGTTTTGTTTTCGAAATGGAGGGGGAATATGTGGTCACAACCAGAAGCTTTTAGAAACTTTTTCCAAGACATACTCGTGTCACAATCATAGTTGTCCGCATCTTTGCGAATGACAACAGCCACAGCAAGCCTACGGCCATGAAGGGTTTGCATAAAGTATGTGGACTTATCGATGCCTTCATCATTAGTTGTAGTTTCCACAGAATAACTGGTGAACAAATCCATTACAACTCTGCACGCAAGGGAACAATGTCAACCACAATTTATACAAATAATTCACTTAAAAGGAAACCATGTTGGGGTGCTAAAGAGCACATGAGTAGGAAAATATATAAGGGACCAAAAGTGTGGAAAAAGTTCTAAACAAGGGATGGAGTTCCCATTAGGCTATGAAAAATGGGATTCAAAAGGCTCTATTCCGAGTGAAAGAATGTTGGAAAAAACGAGAAGAAAGCAAGGGAAAGGGCTTGCCTTTGTTCACGAAAAAAGCTTCTAGTACAAAATTACATGCCGATGGGAAGTGGCAATTGGAACGTTTTATAGACGCCATTCCATATATCCTTGTGGCCGGATAATCATATGATCAAGTTTTGGTGCTGACTGTGATTTGAGCTGTAGACAGCGCAGCAGCACCATACCTGCATGCACTTGATCACCATTCTCACGTGTTTACTGTTTAGATTAAATAATTTGCCTTATATAGCAAAGAGTATAGGACTAAATATATGGTCAAATGTCAAATAGCAGGGCCGTCCTTAAGGATGTCCAATAGATGCTTGGTGCTCAGGGAAGGATTTAAGAGGGGCGCCAGGGCCAACCGTCCATTTAGACTTTCAAAATTTTCATGCTTTAATTAGATGTATATGTTTTCGTCCCCGTGAGATACAAACAATATTGGTAGACAAAAAGTGTAATTGAAAAATTAATTCTTAATTCAGATAAGATTCATGCGGTTAAACAAGGCATAAGTTATTTAAAAAGTATTGATGAATGTGTACATTTTAGATTCTTTTATCTTCAAATAATTTGATAAAATTGTATCCTTTTTTTCAAATAATTTTCCTATGATTTGCTATTTCTTACGCTTTAATGAACCAACAGTTCTTCTAGAGCACTTCAATTAAAAATTAAAATTATTTTTCTGATTGTTTAAACTTAGACTGTAGCAGATTTAAATGTCGTGTATGTACTAATGGATTTTCTTTTAATAAAAATAAATAACAGAGCCCTACACTAGTGAAAAAAATCCGCCCATAGCCAAAACTAGCACTAGCGGAAAAAATTACGCCCCCGTTAACCTGAAATCCCGAATCCGCTCCCGCTTGGCACCAGAGACCATTTTTATAGGGTGCCCCCCAAAATTTAGTACAATATGGAGTACTACCTCTGTCCACTAACATTGAGAATGACAGGGTAACACAGCTATTCAAAAAAGTGAATTAGTGTGATTGATATGGAATTGAAAAAATAAAAATTAAGTGAAAATGATTGATAGCCACACACAAAACTTTACCAGATTTGGTATGAGACAATTTTCGTGAGTTTTCAAAAAAAAGGAAAAATGGGAGAATCTTAGCAGGCGGAGGGAGTAGTATTTATCAGTGTTTTAAATAGCCATAGCGGCAGCGGTAACGGTCATCTCGGTAGCGGCCTTTAGCGGCCTGTAGCCGCGTGTAGCGGTTGCAGCGGCGTGAAATATTTTCAAAAGCGCAAAATATATATTTTCAATAAAAAGATATACTCATCTGTCCCGAAAATATATTACTTATATAAAAAAATTGATATCCTTTCACAATCAAATTTTAAGAAGTGGACTATGCATTGCAACTTGCATAATGCATAATAATACCACTTCCGTTCCAAATGGTTTTGTTAAGTCACATCTTTTTCGTTAACCGATATTAAAGATAAATCATCCTTATTAATAATTAATTTGGATTTAATAATTAAAATTTAGATATTTATTAATATTTGCTACCATAATGTATGAGGATACATGTACTATACATTTAATTTAGAGTTTAACTCCATTCATCACCATTAATCACTAGTAGAAAACAAGCTTATAGTGACACTTTTATAGTGACACTTTCTGATAAAATACAACTAAATGACACACAAGTGTCACTGATTTCTAACAAAAAAAATTCGCTTCCGAATAGTGACACTTTTTATTCAAAACCGGACTACTATTCCACTTAATGGGCCGGGGTGTGTGGGAAGGTTTTTTCTTTTCGTATCCCTATTTTTAATCTACCGATCGATTTCTTCCAGAGCTAGAGCCGCACTACTAACCCTACCTTCAAGATCGTCTTCGCCGATCATCAGAGCACACTCCATCGTATTTACTCACGATTCCATTTGTGCTCTCGACAAGATCGTCTCTGCTATTCCGGAGATGGATCGATTTACTCCGAGGTTGCCTTACTTCGTCGCCCTACTCCGAAGCTAATATCTACCGACTCATTCTTCGTCCAGATCTAGAACACGAACACTACCAAGAGTTCGATCGATTTAGTCCGTCGCAGTACTCTGTCGCCATACTCCTTACTACGCCCGGCCGCCTTACTCTGTCTTCGTGCCTTACCCTTGAGCGAACGACATACAAATGGACTCAGCTATGGACACAGTTTCTTGATTCAGAGCTCTCCTGATTTCAGCGACAAGTGAGATATATAAGCAGCAGGCCAAACAATTACTCATTCATGACTGGTTTGTTTTCATTTGCTTTTGATTTCTGGTATTTTGGCCTTTGCTCTTCAATTTTCCTCTTGTGAGAATTGCCCCCTTGATTAGCATTAATATTTACTCATCAGAATGATTTTCGAACCCTTATATAGGATTTTCGAACTCTTTGTTAGTTCATTTATATACATCACTTTCATTCGTTCCGAGTTTCTAACCTCAGAGAGTTTCAGGATACTGTCAAAACTGGTCAACTTCATTGGGTGTTTTCTACTACATCATGGTTTTATCTCACTTTTCGAGGTTTGTCTTTGACTATTTGAAATGTATGAAGTGATTTCACATGCCTTGTAAAAGAGTGGATAGTTAGAGCAAATCAACCTTGAATATGGGTACTTGTTAAAGTGTAGTCACTCCAAAAAGAATTCTCAATAGGTAAGTTTAATTCATGTTGGCATATTCATTCATCAGATAGGTGGACACTTTACCAATCAGTCTCAGTTGTCCCTGACTCCCAGTCCCAACCCGCCCCCTATTTCGGTTAAAAAATCTTGTTCTGTGTGAGTTTTTAACCAGCATAAAATAATACTCCGTATCTTTAACTTCACATCAGTTGTACATTGAATTTTGATTTGGTGTTTCCACTCCCAATTCAGATTACAACAAAACTTACTCACTGAACTAGAAACAATGGGATTTTCTAAGGCAAGGGCAACTTGAGCACTCCATTAATTCCATTAATCTGGTAAGGCATTATATTTGAACTTTTTTTTCATGAAGAAAGTCATATGAATTGAACTTAGTAGATGTATTTTTCCTTGAACTAAAATTTGAATGCTAAAGCACCCTTTTGTAGTTCTTTAAAAAGTGAGTGTAAATTGTCCTGGTTTTTGTGACAATTCCTTATTTTTAGATAGTGAGCGTAAATTTTCACAGGTCAAAAGAGCTTTGAACTAATATGATATTTTTCCCTTTATAACTTCACGGCTCTGCTAACTCTTTGCATCTGTTTCTACATGCAATGATTATTTGTTCAGACTTTTGCTAATTGGAGATTTTGGTGGTTGGAAATCGTGTCTTTTTCTGAGATTTTCTGTAAGTGGATATTATATATACGTATTCCTGTATATGCTGGACAACTATGTAGTTTGTTTTTACTTGTGTCTTCTGAATTTAGATGAGGATCAAAGTCTTGATGAGCATGTGAATAAACTTGATGATTCTCTCATTTTCTTTTCCTACCATCTTTCATTCTTGTGGTTTTGATGAATGACATTCTAAGAAGGCTCTCCAGTTTCCAATAATGACTATTGTAGTTTGGGAATATAAATGATGTCTAAAAATAGTCCCAAAACTGAAATTGTTTAATTTATAGTGTAACTATAAGTTTTTATCCAATTGCCGGTCTACTGCTTTTCAGCAAGATGGGTCTATGGATCTGGGAAAGTAGAACCAAGAAGGAAGGTGAATAAAGGGTAAAATTCATTGCTTGTTCTTCCTTGTAGATAATCCACACTGTGAAGCAAGATGGGAAAACACATAAGTCTTGACTAAAGCTTGAATTCTTTTACTTCACCGTTTCCCCATACTTTTATTTTGGAAAATTGATCTTAAACCTTATTTTAGTTACATTTTGGTTCTTTGTCAATATCTAGTAGGATACTGTCGGACAACAACGACTCGGACAACAACGACTGCCTACTAGTAGCAGCTAATATCGTGGAGCTCATGGCATAATTGTGAGTGTCTTCCTGCAAAATCCTTATTTTCCTTGGCTTTAAATTATTGGCTAATTAGTTGGTCTGTATTCTCTATGACACATGGAGAAATTTACTTGGATGGGTACACAAGATACTTAAATTTAGCGAATAAATAAAATTTTCCCCTTAAATACAAAAACAAGTATATCGTACAGGCAAACAACCACACACATAGGGATAGTATCAGTTGATAAACTCTCACATGAAAAATATATTTGTAGTAACAAAAACTTGATTGTTATGAAAAAATGACATCCTATTGGTCATATTTATTGGAATGCTGGTAGTTTTTATAGTAAAAAACATTGCTTAGAAGTGTTGAGGAAATTGTATGCGGCTCAGTTTTGTGATTAAAATGTGTAGTTGTTTAAAATTCTATTAACCAATGCCTGCTCAATTGTAATGTTGCTGGAAATTTTGTTATGTTTTGTTCAACAAATGACAGATTCGAATCTTAATAGCATCATTTTAACGTTTTGAGCTTCTGTCATATCCCCAAAATAAGGTGTGATGTATTTAGGTAGTTATTTTTTATGCCAAAAAAACATTGGTTTGATCTATATCTTATTTGGATCTCTTGCAGATTTGATTTGTGATTTGGTTTCCAGCCAAAGAGTTTTTGTTGAGCAGCTCAAGTCCAAAAATAGCAGATTCGGTATAGTATTAGCTCCAAATTGATGCTATAGTGTATTAGTGGTGGGTTTATTTTGTTCATTTTTGTTACTTATAATGTTGCAAAGTTAAAAAAAATCATGCAGGCTATGTTGATCCAGATATGGAGAAGTACTCTAAAGACTTGATTTATTGGATTACGATGGTGATGCAAAGAATTATGATGTCTAATGTGTAGCATATAAAAATGTTGTATGATTAAAGTGTAGATTTATAGCATCTTGTAATACACTACGTGTGTATACTTTATTGATATTGACATTGTAAAATAATTTGAGTAATAAATACAATTATTGTTCTTTTATTTTGGCTATTTATTAATATTTATATAATCTATAATAAAACTAGAACGAAATATTACAATGATTATAATAATAATATTATTGTAAATATATGACACCAATGTGTCGTAAATTTTTATGATACCAAGGTGTCACAACGTTTTATGATACCAATGTGTCATAATTTTGCATCACATTAATGTGTCATAATTTACTGACACTTATTTGTTTTACGATCAGTGACACTATATTTAGTGTCACTAGCCCCCACCTTTCCCGACGCTTTTTTAGTGTCATAAAAACTTTCAGTGACACTAATTTAGTGTCACTATAAGCCCTTTTTCTACTAGTGAATGTATTTTTCCACATCATGCAGACAACATTTACACATTTACACATCAATCAGTTCTTGATGTAATGCCGGAAGTGCCGGTAGCAGGCGGTGTAGCGGAATTTTCCTGATAGCGGCCCGTAGCGGTAGCGGTACCTAGCGAAATTTTCCTGATAGCTAACGGCCTGTAGCGGTAGCGGTACCGGTACCTAGCGGAATTTTCCTGATAGCGGCCCGTAGCGGTAGCGGAATTTGAAAATCACACCCTGATAGCGGCCCGTAGCGGTAGCGGTACCTACCGCGACCGCTATATAGTGACCGTTATAGCGGTAGCGGGCCACTATTTAAAACACTAGTGTTTATAGGTCGTTTTTTAGATGTTATGTATTATTTCAGATTCTCAAATGTGTACAACTTTAAAATTGTCTAATTTGTGTACATTAAACATTATAAAACTTATATTTTACTATAAAATCGTCTATATTTACTTTATTGTTAATTTTTTATTTTTTCTATTTTAAGGGGTTTCAATTCGTCATGTGGAACCAGGCCTCCAAAATCATTAAACCCTTTTTCTTCTGTTCAGAGTATGTTATCCTTGTGTCATATCTAAATATCTAACATACTCTTATTTAAGTTTATTAATTCACATTTGCATAGTACAATTCAATTTGAGATGACATTTTGTGAAATACTCTTATTTTTCTTTTTTTTATCACTACTTTAGATGACACTTTTTTGTTGATATGTAATACTCCGTAGCATGTTTCAGTTAACCAATATGTCGCCAACAAATATCCGATCCATTGAAATGATATTATTTATTTTTCCTGTTAAAATGACATTAGACAATTTGACTCAACTTTTATAACTTCACCTCATGATGACATTGTGATTTGATAATCATAGTACCTATACATCTTCATCACGATGAAATTCTTGTTTAAAAATGACATTCTAACTAGATCGAAAGTACACATGATATTTTAGAATGAGAGCACTTTAAAGTCACTCCAATTTACTCCTACAATTAAATGGTTGAAAATATATGGTCCTATTTTTGTACTTTGACCGTAATATTTTAGTCTTATTTGAGTCATTTTATCTTTAGATTACTCAAATACCGGTGCACACACGATCTATCTATATTTTTAGGGGTGGACATTAAAAACAAATCATTAATACGAGTATTATATTATTGGTGCCGAACTAAGGTTTTAATATAATAATGACACTAAACCAATACTGTATCATTTGAAATGGATATAGAACCGGTTTTGATTGAATATTGAAAAATGAACAATATCGAATTGGGCCGATATAAATCAATATATGTGAGGTTTTTTATACAATGACCATTCAATTACACGATTCTTATTCAACCAAACATTGTTCAATTTCAGAACTTTATCAAAGGACTCGAAAGATAGATTAATTATCAATTCAAGATTCAAAACATGAAACGTATTGGTATAGGACCCGAATGATATAATATTTAAAAATTTAAAAATAAAAAGAATAATAATTTTTTTGACAAATTAGGTCCTAGATTGATAGTTTTCAATCATTCAGTCCTAAATTCACAGTTTTTCATCATTCGGGTCTTATATCGATACATTTCGTCTTTCAGGTTCCAGATTGATAATTCTTTTATCTTTCGGGTCCTAAATTGATAACATTCCATTATTTATTTATGAGAAATCGTTTCATAATACCTGCGAGGTGTGAGAAGAATAAATAAGTTAAACAAATACTAGCACTACATAGTAGTCAAAAAAAATGTTAGGTTGTAGGTAAAAGATATCTCCAAATATTACTCCGATAAAAGATATCTCCAAATATTACTGCGTAGTTCCATATATATCTACCGAAGCTCTGAATATTGGAAAAATGTACATAAACAAACAAAATGTACATCCAATCTCCGTAGAATTCGCGATTGCGTCTAGCGTCTTTAACGTGTGTCTCAGTCAAATTCACGATACCTCTTCAGCGTCTTCAACCATGGATTCTTCTGTTCGCAGTGAATGAAGCTCCCTATCGTTTAACTGATTTTTTGGTGTTTTAGTGACATGTTGCAACGAACGCCTCTGATTTAACCACGTGTAAAAACCGAGTCTTCCGTATCGAGACTTCCGTAAGCTGAAGTCTTATTTTTGTAAATTTCCATTTAAAGTCACTTTTGTGTGAAATAGGGTAGGTCCAATTAGTAATATTGGAATAAAAACCCCAAATTTCTTTGCCAACCAAGATTGTTATTCTTCCTCGTATTATGATTTTGTGTAAGTTTCTCTGATATGATAACCAAAGTTATTATGTTTCCTCATATTATATGATTGTTATGTGCTATGTGATTAAGTTATGAGTTTTGAATTATATATATGTATTATTTGAAGTGATATTAAATATATATTATTATGAGAAATATGAATTGAGTACTTTGGTGTATTAAATATTTTTAAATGCCATTTAATCCAACACTATTATGATAACCGAGTTATTAGTTATATATTAAAATATCCGATTCATTAATTTATAATATAATACAGTAGTACTCTAAAATATTCAAATCATAATAATATTATTAAAATATCCGATTTCTTTAATCATGTTAATTTATTAATCCAATTCGATTAATCCAGTAATTAGTGTAAATCGTATCTATCCAATTTAATTTAATCTAATTAAGGTATTAAGTCCGAATTAATCATTATTTTATTAAAATATTATTATTACTATTGATTAAATAAAAAATCAATTCATTTTATTATTTTATATTATGCAATTATCTGAACTATGAGTCATCCGGAAACAGTCTCTCTATGCTGGGGGGTAAGACTGCGTACATCCGACCCCCCCCCCCCCCCCCCCCCCTTATCACATCGTAGGTGAGAGCCTTTGCAGCACTAGGGTTAATGATTTTTTTTAATTATCTCAACTAAAAAGTGACAAATTTATTTAAAGATAAACATAACCAGTTTTATTGGCCCAACAATTATTTATTATCATAACTCAATGTTATTATCATTATTCATTTTCTTATTATCATTCATTATTATTAAATCAACCCAACAAATTATTAAAACATGTATACTGTCCAGACTTAAAAATAAAGATATATTTTGGGATTTAATCCCTAGTATAACTTTGGAGTGAATTCTTTTGCAGAAGAATTTTGGAGTATTTATGAATATGAATTTTTTGTGAACGTAACTATTAAATAGATATGTTGGATGACTATAGAGATACATGATTTTCCATGAGTGAAAAATATTTTCATAATGATTATTGACATCTCGAGATAAACACGAGGTGTGGATAGTTAGTTCTATATACCGCGGGTGTAGTTAGACTCCTTGGATTTTTGGTGGCGAGAGAAATGCCAGTAATTTTTTGTGACGGGAGAAATCCCGGTAATTTTTTTTTTGTGGTGGGAGATCTAATCCCGATATTTCGTTTGAGGATTTTAAAAGTTCTTTGGTGGCCGCGGTAGTAGTTCGTAATTATCCGGGTATCTAACCCTTTGTAAAATAAGGGGATTCTAATCCGAAGTAGTTGGACTTCTTACTACTCAAAGAGCTTGGAATCCCTTGTAGGGGGTGTGCACACTTAAGGGTGAAGTTTAGTTTTCAATTGGTGGTCAGTGGGAGTCAGAATTTCGGGATGAGTGATATACAATAACGACTCATTGGGCTCAAGAAATCTTGAGTTTCACCCATCTTAAAAGAATTTAGGAGTGACATTGATTTTAATTTGGAAAGGTCATATTTGAGCTATAAAAGCTATTTTTGGAAAGTGATGATTTTTTTTGAAGAAGGGGCTTAAATTGATATCAAAGCATTAACATTCAGAAAGGGGGTAAAAAAAGTAAGGAACCGCATACAACCGTCAGCCCGCGAACCAGACTCGGAGTTAATTAATCACCTTCAAACAAGGAATATAACTCGTTGATCCATTAATGGACAAACCTGAGCCACAGACGATTGAAGCAGACCAAGCTTCACCCAATCCTAATGCAAGAGTCTTACAATAATAAGAGTAAGCAACAGAAAAATAAACAGACTGAGCATAAAAAATATAATGCAAGCAAACGGTAAAAATAAAAAGATGCTTCCAAACCCTAGACTCTCCTATGCTCCATGGCGGCGGTTCAGGAGGTGGACGATCCAGCAGTACCAAAGCTTCTTCCTCACGTTGCCTCTTAATCATCAGGTTCTCTACCAAGCCTCCTTTGACGCCACCTAATATAGATGACATCGAATCTAGATCTGTTCCAACCAAACTCATCCCTGCTGCTTGCGACCGAAATAAGCGAACAAGCAGCAATCGAAACAGGACATCAATGCCGCCTTCCTCCAACGATCTCCTTCCTCCGCGCTCGAGAAGGGAGAAGCCCGACCTTCGAGAAATCAAACTCGACAGGCCGCAGAAGGCAAGCATGCCGCGAGGAAACAAAACGCAACAAGGACTCCACAAAACTCAGCCCCACACTGTCGAATACTCCAGGAATCCCGACCGCAACACCACTCAAGCCAGAAAAATCGGCCGAAGCCGCCGGAACCCACGGCCCAAAAAGACCGCCGCCGGAGAAGGGCTAGGCTAATGTTGGACGAGTGATCAAGCTTGCATACACGTGATTTAAGGCCATGCATACGTGGAATGTTGCTTTAAACATTTTAGTCTTTATTATTATTATTATGAATAAGTCTAAGTGGTTAGCTAAAGTTTAGGCTTTTGATTTGGTCATCATTTTACTCACGTTCAAATGCTTGGATTAGCTTAATTCTAGGAGTTAGTTATTTGCTATGTGCTTGGTTCATTTCAGTATTGTAAAGGCTATATAAAGCCTAATAGTTATTAATAAGATAATGTGTGTTTATGCCTCTTCTCTTCTCTCATTCATATATACATTCGTATAGTTATTCATAGGCTTTGAACAACATTTGGTATCAGAGCTAGAGAGCTATCCGAGGGCCTAAATTGGGAGGAACAAAACAAAAAAAAAGGAGTGAAAACAATGCAGACTGCGGGTGGTAACAATGGGAATTCAATCTCCCAATTACCTATGTTCAAGGGTTCAAATTACCACTTTTGGAGTTTGAAGATGAAGACTCTCTTCAAGTCTCAAGAGCTATGGAGCATTGTTGATGAAGGGTTTGAAGATGGACAACCGGAGGAACCAGATCAAGCCTTGAGAGATAGAAGAAAGAAAGATGCAAAGGCTCTCTATTTCATCCAACAAGCCTTGGATGATGAGGTCTTTCCCCGGATTGCTGCAGCCTCAACATCCAAGGAAGCTTGGAGTATTCTTCAAAAGGAATACAAGGGTGACAAGAAAGTCATTGAGGTCAGGCTGTGATATGCACTAATTAGTAGTGCACAAGTGTATGTTTTTTACGTATGATTTGTGTGGTTTGTTTACCGTTTTATTTAGTTTGTAAACATTTGTGTGATTTTAGTTGTAATTGTATTTTAATCTTCATTTGTAAGTTGTAAAGTAGAGTTAGGAATTAGGGTGTTGAAAAGGAGGACTTTGAAGTGAAGAAAAATAAGATTTGGCTGCCCAGAAGCACAAACCCGACCGGGTACAATACTTCACCCGGTCGGGTATGACAAAGAATCAGAAACTGCTGAGAAAGTCACTAGACCCGGGCGGGTCACTTATTTGACCCGGTCGGGTCAGATGTGACCCGGAACACCAGAACATGCCGAAGATCGCCAGAACGTGGGAAATATGTGATTTTGACGTTGACCCGGTCGGGTATGTCCTTTTACCCGGGCGGGTCAATGCCCCAGGGTGTTGAAAACACCTATAAATAACCCCATTTTCCTTCACAAATAATCACTCCTTCTTCCATACTCTTAAGCTCAACTTAGAATAGTATTTCTTTTATATTTTTTTAGCATGTTTAGTCTCCAAATGAGGAGCTAAACTTCCATTTCTTGGTGTTGCTCTTGAAGCTTGTTGATTATTAAAGTTGTGAGTTATTTTCTTAACTTCTTCCCTTGAATATTAATTATTCTCTTAATCTATCTATATATTAATGTTGGGGAGTGTTGCTAAGATGACAATTAGTTAACATCTCGACATTAGTTATAGTAGTATTTATTTTCTTCCTCTATATATTAATGTTGGGGAGTGTTGCTAAGATGACAATTAGATAACATCTTGACATTAGTTATAGTAGGATTATTCATATTTAATCTTCTTCCTTGAATATTAATTCTTCCCTTAATCTATCTCTATATTAATGTTGGGGAGTGTTGCTAAGATGACAATTAGTTAACATCTCGACATTAATTACTACTAGAAACGATCAACGAACCGATGGTTAATCGTTGATGGTTTCACAAGTAAGTAACTTCGGTTTATTAATGCACGGTTGTGGTTAATAAACTTAAGAGGGATTAATTTTGTTGGTTAAACCGAAACCGTTGTGTTGAGGTTATCAATCTCAATTGATTTCATCAAGGAGTTAAGAGATTAAATGCTACTATTAAGTCGGTATATGGCGGTGTTCTATACATGACTAATAGTAAGGGTTATTAATGAACGGTCGTTGTTAATAACTACCCTCGATGAATTGGATATACTCCTCGATTGAGTATTCGAGAGGGGATTAGTTATAGATATAACAATGATCGACTAAAATATATCAACAAGTGGAAAGTAGCAATGCCAAGTCCTTTTTATCTTTGAATTAAATCACATATAACTCGTTCATCTTCGTGTTTAAATTTAAATTAAATCTCTCAATCAAAACCCCCCTTTATTTACTAGTTACATAAAAAGAGAATTATTCCTTTCCCTGTGGATACGAACTCTACTTCACCTATACTACGTGTAAGTGTTAGTATTGAATTTATTTTGAGTGCACTCACGACAAAGTGCACGTCAAATTTGGCGCCGTTGCCGGGGAAAGGCAATTTATTTTTCTTTTTATTTTATTTTAAGAAAAAGGAAAAAAAATATTACCTAAATATAGAGATTTCTATTCTTCTGAGCTTTGTTTGAGTATATGGTTAAACACCGATCTATAAACCAAATCACCTACCAAACAAACCCCGAAACAGAACAAGCCCTCGAGAGGTTTAGGAATTTATTTCCGAATACTTCTTCGGAGGAGTCATCAAGTGCTAGTTCTTATTCTAGCGAGAACGAAGAGCCAATCACTATGGCTCAAGAAACAAGAACATTGAGGGAGCTCACGGCTCCTAACTTAAATCAACAACCTCTATGTATCACCTTCCCCACTCTTGATGAAGGTGCTACATTTGAGCTCAAATCAGGCCTCATTCATCTACTCCCTTCATTTCATGGCCTAAGGGGCGAGGATGCAAACAAACATCTTGCGGAGTTTCATATAGTTTGCACTAGTATGAAACCAAATAATGTTACGGAAGAACAAATCAAGCTGAGGGCCTTTCCATTCTCACTGAAGGACACGGCTAAGGATTGGCTATTCTATCTTCCCTCGGGAAGCATAGACACATGGGCGGCAATGAAGAAATGCTTCCTAGAAAGGTACTACCCCGCCTCCATCTCATCATCTTTGAAAAAACAAATAAGCAACATTGATCAAAAAGATGATGAGACCTTATATGAATATTGGGAACGGTTCAAAAAGTTATGTGCTAGCTGCCCTTATCATGGCTACACCGAGCAAGACCTCATACTCTACTTTTATGATGGTCTTGTTGATGATGATAGAAGAATGGTGAATGCCGCTTGTGGGGGCGGCATTGTCAACAAAACTCCCTCACAAGCAACAAGCTTAATCTCAGAGTTGGCCGAGAACTCTAGGCATTACAACGGGCGGTCCTCAACCCGTAAAGTTGCCGCGGCGGAATCATCTTCATCTTTAGAAAGTCAAATGGCCGGCTTGACTTCCTTGGTTAAGGATTTCCTTTTAAATCCTAGAAACCAAGAGGTCAAGGTCTGCGGCATATGCACACAGCAAGGGCATCCAACAGATTCTTGCCCAACTCTCCAAGAAGAGCAAGTCAACGCCTTGGGTTTCCAAACCCAACAACAAAAGAGGTACGATCCACACTCTAATACTTACAACCCCGGGTGGAGAGATCACCCTAATTTAAGATATGGGAACCCTCAACCACAACAAAATCAGTCCTTTCAACAATCCTTCCCAAATCATCAAGGTCAAAGCTCCAACTCTAACATGTCCACGGAGGACATGATTCGAGCTCTTGCTACGAACATGGGCACTTTGCAACAAAATGTTTTGCAATTTCAACAAGAAACAAAGTCAAGCATTCAAAATTTGGAAACTCAAGTTAGCCAAATTTCGATTGCTGTGAGTAGGCTAGAGGCCAAAGAATCGGGAAAACTCCCTTCTCAAACGGAGCAAAACCCGAGACAACATGTCAATGCGATCATGACGAGGAGCGGTAAGGAGTTGCAAACAAAGGAGGCTGAAGAAAAAGTTAACAATGACGCGTTTGACCACAACGAGGGGGAACCAACGAAGACAAAATTTCCTCCACTTTCATCATATGAGCCACTCCCTCCATTCCCTGAGGCGCTGAAGGACACAAGGAAGTTGGAGAATGATCGGGACATCTACGAGACCTTCGCCAATTGTGAGGTAAATATCCCACTCTTTAAACTAATCAAAAGTGTTCCCCGTTATGCAAAGTTTTTAAAAGAACTATGCACGATAAAAAGAAAGAATAAATTGAAAGGGAAACAAGAGGTCAAGGTTAGTGAACATGTCTCGGCAATTTTCCAGAGGAAACTCCCGGAAAAATGCAACGATCCAGGCATGTTCACTATCCCATGCAAAATAGGGGACACTTTATTTCCTAGGGCCTTGTTAGATTTAGGGGCTTCAATCAATGTTATTCCATATTCATTATACAAGTCCCTAAAACTTGGCCCTATGCATGAAACCGGGGTGATAATCCAATTGGCGGATAGGTCTAGCATATACCCAAAGGGTGTCGTAGAGGACGTGCTAATAAAAGTTGAAAATTTGGTCTTCCCTGTCGACTTCTATATTCTTGAAATGGAAGCCGATAACCAAGCTACACCCATCCTTTTGGGAAGACCTTTCTTAAAAACAGCCCAAACAAAAATAGATGTGTCTAATGGTTCATTAACTTTAGAGTTTGATGACCAAAAAGTAGAATTCAACATCTTTGATTCTACAAAAAAGCAAATAAAAAAACAATCCCTTTGTTCTCTAAATGTTTTTGAACCACAAACATCACCTATTTTTGTTGAAAAAGAAGATGAGAAAACCTCACTTTTTGAAGAGGAAGAAAAAATTGAGCATAGGGTAGAGGAGATAACCAAGAAGAAATCACGGCTTTACTGGAAAAGGCCAAAGAGGAAGAATGAAACAAGGGATATTCACGATCCCACATAAAGCAAAAAAAATAAAAATAAAAATAAACGTCGTGCTACGACAATTAAATAAGGCGCTTCTTGGGAGGCAACCCAAGTTTCTATTGTGTTTATTTACATTTTTTTTTGTGTGTGTGTGGGAAAACCTTTTCAAAAAAAAAAATGGGCAGTACACCCGACCGGGTCTCTCATTTCACCCGGCCGGGTGTATTTGTTAAATGGCCCCTGGAGTAAAGAACCCGACTGGGTGCAACAGACCACCCGACCGGGTCAACTGACAAAAAAAAAAAAAAAAAAAAAAAAAAAAAAAAAAAAACTCGCTGCCTCCGGAGAACCTTTACACCCGACCGGGTCACATACACCACCCGACCGGGTCGTCGAATTTTGACCTCAAAACCAGACGGGCTCAATCGTCTTCAACCTTTTTCTTCCCCAAATCAAAAACCCTCTCCAATTCTTCTACCGTTAAACACCAAAAAAAAAAAAAAAAAAAAAAAAAAAAAACTCACCCCTCACTCAACCAAATCCATCAATTAACACCATATATTTTTTTTCCTCCTCTTCATTTTTTTTCCTCCTCTTCACCCTCTTCACTTCTATATCCACAAAACCAAATCAAAGCCACTCATTCACAAAAATCCAAAATTGCCATCTACCCCCCCCCCCCCCCCCAAAAAAAATGGACAGACACCAAAAAGAGCAAAGAGATTCATCCTTTTGGACATCTCGGACACAAGCACTAGGGACAGTGCTTTGATTAGCTTGGGGGGAGAGTTTCATGGAATACTCACATTTCATTCTTGTTCAAAAAAAAAAAAAAAATTAATGAAGCAAAAAAAAAAAAAAAGAGCTTGTTAAGTTGAAAACCTGAAAAGGCAACTTAAGCAAAAATAAAGCAAAAAAAAAAAAGAGTGAGTTGTGAGGATAAAAAAAAAGGAGAGAGAAAATTGGGAAGCTGGGATGAAAACCCGAAAGGGCACCTAGGCAAAATGAGAGAACGAGAGAAAGTATTTTCTTTTATTTCTGCAGGATCCTAAGGGTAACAATAAAAAAAAAATTGAGGTTGATAACAAAATGTGGAGTTGAAGACCCCTCTTTACTCTTATATTTGTGGGGATATTTTTGTGTTGTTCTACAAACACACGTGGATGTTGGTGTTGATACTCTTGTCATTTTAAGGACTTCTTGGGCTGGATTTTGTTTACTCGAGACGAGTAAAGGTTCAAGTGTGGGGGTGTTTGATATGCACTAATTAGTAGTGCACAAGTGTATGTTTTTTACGTATGATTTGTGTGGTTTGTTTACCGTTTTATTTAGTTTGTAAACATTTGTGTGATTTTAGTTGTAATTGTATTTTAATCTTCATTTGTAAGTTGTAAAGTAGAGTTAGGAATTAGGGTGTTGAAAAGGAGGACTTTGAAGTGAAGAAAAATAAGATTTGGCTGCCCAGAAGCACAAACCCGACCGGGTACAATACTTCACCCGGTCGGGTATGACAAAGAATCAGAAACTGCTGAGAAAGTCACTAGACCCGGGCGGGTCACTTATTTGACCCGGTCGGGTCAGATGTGACCCGGAACACCAGAACATGCCGAAGATCGCCAGAACGTGGGAAATATGTGATTTTGACGTTGACCCGGTCGGGTATGTCCTTTTACCCGGGCGGGTCAATGCCCCAGGGTGTTGAAAACACCTATAAATAACCCCATTTTCCTTCACAAATAATCACTCCTTCTTCCATACTCTTAAGCTCAACTTAGAATAGTATTTCTTTTATATTTTTTTAGCATGTTTAGTCTCCAAATGAGGAGCTAAACTTCCATTTCTTGGTGTTGCTCTTGAAGCTTGTTGATTATTAAAGTTGTGAGTTATTTTCTTAACTTCTTCCCTTGAATATTAATTATTCTCTTAATCTATCTATATATTAATGTTGGGGAGTGTTGCTAAGATGACAATTAGTTAACATCTCGACATTAGTTATAGTAGTATTTATTTTCTTCCTCTATATATTAATGTTGGGGAGTGTTGCTAAGATGACAATTAGATAACATCTTGACATTAGTTATAGTAGGATTATTCATATTTAATCTTCTTCCTTGAATATTAATTCTTCCCTTAATTTATCTCTATATTAATGTTGGGGAGTGTTGCTAAGATGACAATTAGTTAACATCTCGACATTAATTACTACTAGAAACGATCAACGAACCGATGGTTAATCGTTGATGGTTTCACAAGTAAGTAACTTCGGTTTATTAATGCACGGTTGTGGTTAATAAACTTAAGAGGGATTAATTTTGTTGGTTAAACCGAAACCGTTGTGTTGAGGTTATCAATCTCAATTGATTTCATCAAGGAGTTAAGAGATTAAATGCTACTATTAAGTCGGTATATGGCGGTGTTCTATACATGACTAATAGTAAGGGTTATTAATGAACGGTCGTTGTTAATAACTACCCTCGATGAATTGGATATACTCCTCGATTGAGTATTCGAGAGGGGATTAGTTATAGATATAACAATGATCGACTAAAATATATCAACAAGTGGAAAGTAGCAATGCCAAGTCCTTTTTATCTTTGAATTAAATCACATATAACTCGTTCATCTTCGTGTTTAAATTTAAATTAAATCTCTCAATCAAAACCCCCCTTTATTTACTAGTTACATAAAAAGAGAATTATTCCTTTCCCTGTGGATACGAACTCTACTTCACCTATACTACGTGTAAGTGTTAGTATTGAATTTATTTTGAGTGCACTCACGACAAAGTGCACGTCAGGCTGCAATCCCTAAGAAGGGAGTTTGAGAATGCCAAGATGAAGGACAAAGAAACTGTCAATGATTACCTCTCTAGGATCACATCAATAGTGCAGAAGATGAGATCCTATGGAGAGGAGGTTAAATCTAAACAAGTGATAAGTAAGGTGCTGAGGAGTCTTTCAAGGAAGTACTCTCATCTTGTGGCAGCTATTGAGGAGTCTAAGGATATGGAGGTATACACCTTTGATGAACTCAAAGGTTCTTTGCAGGCCTATGAAGAAAGGGAAGATAAAGAGGAAGAAAGGGATGAAACAGCTTTTCAAGCTAAAGCTGACACTTCTCACCATGATAGGACTCAGCAATCTTCAAGAGGAAGAGGAAGAGGTCGTGGGAGAGGAGGCAATAGAGGTAGAGGTCGTGGCAGAGGGGGCAGAGGTTACACTCCTGAAAGAAAGGAGGAGCCAACTGGGAGCAATTACAAGAGCCCCATCAAATGCTATTACTGCAACAAGCCAGGCCATAAAGAGGCCTCATGCTGGAAGAAAGAAGAAGACAAGGGAGAAGGAAGAACTGAGAGCAAGTCTAATTATGCTGAGCATGAAAACCTTTTCCTTGCTCAACATAATTGTGACTATGGGGCAAAAACAGTCTGGTATGTGGATAGTGGTTGCTCAAACCACATGACCAGTTCTAGGGACATGTTTATGGACCTGATGACTCTAAGAAGAGTATGGTAAGGCTTGGAGATGGCAAGCAGCTTTCAGTTGAAGGGCAGGGAACAATTGAGCTTCCAACTGAGCAAGGAAAGCCCAAATTACTGCATAATGTGCAGTATGTTCCTAACCTGGCCCATAACTTGTTAAGTGTGGGTCAGCTTATATGTGGTGGCTACAGAATCCTGTTTGAAGATGGTATGTGTATTATCAAAGAAAACAAGCAAAATGAAGTGGTGATGAGGATACCAATGGGAAAGAACAAGGTCTTTCCATTGGACCTAACCAGAAATGCAGGCCAAGCTCTTGTGGTGAAAGGAGATGAAAATGCAAAACTATGGCACCTCAGGTATGGGCATCTCAACAATCACAGCTTACAATTGCTAAGTTCAAAGGAATTTGTGCATGGACTACCTAGCATTGGGGTGTTGGAGTTCTGTGAAGGGTGTGTGTATGGGAAGCAGGCTAGAGGCTCATTTCCAAGTGGCAAGGCTTGGAGGGCTAGTAAGTGCTTGGAATTGATACATGCTGATCTCTGTGGCCCTATGCAAACTGAATCATTAGGAGGAAGTAAGTATTTCTTTCTCCTCACTGATGATTGCAGTAGAATGTCCTGGGTGTACTTTCAAAAGACTAAGTCTGAATCTTTTGAGAACTTTAAGAAGTTTAAAGCATTGGTGGAAAAGCAAAGTGGACTGCAAGTGAAGACCCTAAGAACTGATAGGGGAGGTGAGTTTGTCTCCAAAGAGTTTAACCAATTCTGTGATGATTATGGCATAAGGAGAGAACTTACTGCACCCTACACCCCTGAGCAAAATGGGGTGGCTGAGAGGAAAAACAGGACCATTGTTGAAATGGCAAGGTGTATGATGAAGGTTAAAGGGCTGCCTAACTCATTCTGGGGTGAGGCAGTTGCAACAGCTGTCTATATTCTCAACATCTCACCTACTAGGGCTGTGATGAATTCAACACCATTTGAAGCTTGGAGACAGAAGAAGCCCTCAGTCAGTCACCTAAGAACATTTGGGTGCATTGCCTATACATTGGTGAACTTGAGGACCAAGTTAGATGCTAAAGCAGAGAAGTGCATCTTTGTTGGTTACTCAACTCAGTCAAAGGCTTACAGACTGTATAACCCACTTACAAGCAAAGTGGTTATAAGCAGAAATGTGGTCTTTGATGAGGATGCAAAGTGGGATTGGAATCAAACCAATCAAACTGATGGAAGCTTGAGAAGAATAGTCAACGTAGAAGGGTCTGATGAGCCTCTTGCGGACCCTCCACAGCCTAGTCCTCCCTCAACTCCACACAGTTCATCTACCTCTTCAAGCAACCAGAGCTCTCCTTCATCATCATCAAGTGAATCAAGTGAATCTCCTCCACGCAGAGTAAGAACATTGGTTGATATCTATGAAAATTGTGATTTTGCTCTAGTTGCTGCAGAACCCACAGGTTTTGATGAGGCTGTTGCTCAGCCTGAATGGCAGAAGGCTATGGAAGAGGAAATCAGTGTTATAGAGAAGAATGGGACTTGGGAGCTAGTAAGTCTGCCCAAAGGAAAAAAGGCTATAGGCCTAAAATGGGTCTATAGAACAAAATGCAACCCGGATGGAAGTGTTTCTAGGCACAAAGCCAGGTTGGTTGTCAAAGGCTATGCTCAGCAAGAAGGCATAGATTATGAGGAAACCTTCTCACCAGTTGCCAGGTTTGAAACTGTGAGGGTTGTCCTAGCTTTAGCTGCACAATGGAGGTTACCTGTGTTCCAGTTAGATGTGAAGTCAGCTTTCTTAAATGGAGAACTTCAGGAGGAGGTGTTTGTTGAACAGCCTCAGGGTTTTGAGAAGAAGAATGAACCTGAGAAGGTGTACAAACTGAAGAAAGCACTCTATGGCTTAAAGCAGGCTCCAAGGGCATGGTACAGTAAGATTGACTCATTTTTCATTACTAATGGATTCATTAGGAGTGATAATGAGCCAACACTTTACATAAAGAAGCAAGGTACAGATCAGTTTATTGTTGTTTGCCTTTATGTTGATGACATAGTGTACTTTAGCTCTTCAGAAAGTATGCTAGCAGATTTCAAGAGTTCAATGAAGCAGAAGTTTGAAATGACTGATCTAGGGGTCTTGCAATACTTTCTTGGCCTGGAAGTGAAACAGAAAAAGGAGGGGACTTTTTTGTGCCAAAGAAAGTATGCTATGGATTTACTCAAAAGGTTTCATATGGAGAATTGTGAGATAGCAAAAACTCCTATGAATACCAATGAGAAGCTGCAGAAATGTGATGGAACTGAGAAAGCAAGTGAAAGATCATTCAGAAGCCTAGTTGGGGGACTGAACTACCTAACACACACTAGACCTGACATTGCACACAGTGTTAGTGTTGTGTCTAGGTATATGCATTATCCCACTAAGCAGCACTTTGGTGCAGCTAAACGAATTCTGAGATATGTGGCAGGAACTCTAGGCTTTGGAATATGGTATGAAAGTGTAAAACACTTTAAACTCAGAGGCTATACTGATAGTGATTGGGCAGGTTGTATTGATGATAGAAAGAGCACCTCAGGCTCAGTGTTTGACCTTGGTTCTGGAGCTATTACATGGAGTTCCAAGAAGCAAGATACAATTGCTTTATCTACCTCAGAGGCAGAGTACATTGCTGCAGGAGCTGCAGCAAAACAAGCATTATGGCTGAAGAAATTACTGAAGGATTTGTGTTGTGAACATCAAGAAATTCCAGAAATTTGGTGTGACAATATGTCTACAATTGCTATGGCAAAGAATCTAGCTTTTCATGCTAGAACAAAGCATATAGACGTGCAGCATCATTTCATCAGGAAGCTTGTAGCTGAGGAGAAAATAGTTTTGCAGTTTTGTGGAACCGAGTTTCAGAATGCAGACCTATTTACTAAGGCTTTGACTCAAGCTAAACATCAATTTTTTATGGAAAGAATTGGGATGACAAGCTTGGATCAAGGGGAGGTGTTGGACGAGTGATCAAGCTTGCATACACGTGATTTAAGGCCATGCATACGTGGAATGTTGCTTTAAACATTTTAGTCTTTATTATTATTATTATGAATAAGTCTAAGTGGTTAGCTAAAGTTTAGGCTTTTGATTTGGTCATCATTTTACTCACGTTCAAATGCTTGGATTAGCTTAATTCTAGGAGTTAGTTATTTGCTATGTGCTTGGTTCATTTCAGTATTGTAAAGGCTATATAAAGCCTAATAGTTATTAATAAGATAATGTGTGTTTATGCCTCTTCTCTTCTCTCATTCATATATACATTCGTATAGTTATTCATAGGCTTTGAACAACAGCTAAACCTTGGAAAGTGATGATTTGAAAAGTGATAACCCATTTTTTATGGAGATATGAATTATTTAAAGCTTATAAATATTATTTTTATTATAAAACGATTTTCAAATTATAAAGTTGTTTTGGATGATAAATGATGTTTTTGATATGAAAATATACTTTTGGAAAGTAAATGGAATTTTGAATCTATGTTATAGTATAAAGAACTATTTTTTTGAAAAATTATACTACCTCCGTCCCAGGGAGAAGTTCCCAATTTCCTTTTTTGGCAGTCCCAACAAAAAGTTCCCATTTCCATAAATGGAAAGTTATCCTACATAAAAACAGTGCCAAACAGTGCCAAACAGTGTCGAAACAGTGCCAAACAGTGTCGAAACAGTGCCAAACAGTAAAATTTACCCCTCAGTAACTTTATTTCCTTAATATGTGTGAAAGTCAACCCGGGAACTTCTCCCTGGGACGGAGGGAGTATTACTTTACGGGTTTGGGTTCTACTTACTTAGTTTTCGCTAATTTTACTCTTTGTGTGTTTCCTCCCTTTGTTTGATGAGTCACGAGGGCGTTTTAGAAGATTATAGTGCAGCTTCACTGAGATTAAATAATGCTATTTAATTTGAATATTAAGTTTTTATTTGGTTGAACTCATGGTGGATAACCTTAGCATCCAACCAAGTCGAGGGCTGGGTGTGACGGTGACAATTTTAGTTACAGAACCATCGCTAATACTCTGTGAGTATTTGAGCGTTTTTTGTAGTATAGGCTAAACCTCTACGGGGGTTGGATTTGGATAAAGTTAAGGTTAGTAGGTGTTCTTTTTTTGAAGGATTACTGTGTTTTATCCAATATTGAATTGTATTTAAATTAGAAAGCTTATCCAATATTTGTGGCTAGTTGTTTGAGATGAAATTGAATGATTAATTTGTGAAATTGATCACTTCACTTGGATTTTTGGAAGTTAAATTCTTCCTTGACTATGAATTTAGAATTAATTTAGCTCATGCTTCACACATGCCCTAAACTAAGTCTAGAAATATCACTTGTTAGGGGATTTATTATTACTTTCTTGTCTACGAGAATTGATATCTTAGTATCTTTAGATCGGTGAAAATTTCCCATATCTGTTCATAAATCATAATCAAAGACATTCAAGATCCTTAATCCCAAATCTAGACTTCACTTTTAATTACTTAATTTATTGTTACTAGTCACATTGAATTTACCTTTTAGTATTCTATTTTGCTTTCTTCATTCACATGTTCCATAGTTTAGTATTTCAAAGTCTTTTTTTTTTCTCAAAATATATCTCTTGTTCGCTAGCTAGTATTCTTTACTCATCAATGCAATTTTTTTAATTTAGTTGTTACTTGTTAGTACTTCTATTCATACTAACTGATATTGAAACCAACACTTCCGTCACTCCCAAGAGATACGATCATACAACACTAGGGGAGTAGGGGATAAACTTTTCATCCTTGAGGGATAAACTTTGTTTTACAACTCCAGGAAAGCGGGTTATCGGATAACATGATATGAAGTGGCACTATTGTTGGCTTGCAAACACTTAAACACTCGAACAATATATGATTGGTTTCATATGTATAAGATCAAAGTGAAATATACTAAGAGATATTGACATAATTTTTCTTTTATATAATAGGGGAAAAACCCAACAAGATGTGTTGGATGAAAAAACCCCTCACGAGACACATATATACAATCACATACTGCCATGCAGTTACACAACACACACACACGAACTGGTAACCTCCCACCTTCCCTTTCTCACGTATACATGAGAGTGGGGTGGTTACCATGCACACATGACTAAATAACAATAATAAAAGAAACTTAAAATACTTATAATTTGCTATGTTAGGACAAGTTTAACTCCCACATTCTCCCCCTTAAACTTGTCTCTTCTACTTGACACTCTTCACTCCAATCTTGCTTCTTATCTCTTCGAATCTCTGTCTTCCAAGAGGTTTGGTCAATATGTCTGCTAGCTGTTCACTTGTCTTGACATACTCAAGCTCTACTTCATTGTCTTCAATGCACTCCCTTATGAAATGGAATCTGGTGTCTATATGTTTACTTCTTTCATGAAAAACAGGATTCTTGGCTAGAGCTATGGCTGACTTGTTATCAACTCTTATCACTGGTTTTTCTTGATCTCCATTATTTCCCAAGCTTTTTATCAATCTGGAAAGCCATATGCCTTGACATGCTGCACTTGTGGCAGCTATATACTCTGCCTCGCAAGAGGAGAGTGCTACAACTCTTTGTTTATGAGACACCCATGTGATTGGGTTATTACCCAAAAAGAACACAGTTCCACTTGTACTTTTCCTGTCATCTAGATCACCTGCAAGGTCACTATCACTGTATCCAACTAGATTCTCATTTTCAGAGTCTCTTCTATACACACACCCCATTCCCAAAGTCCCCTTTACATACCTTAGAATCTGTTTAACTGCACTCATGTGTGTTGAGGTTGGAGCTTCCATGTATCTACTTACCACTCCAACTGAGTAGGCCAGGTCTGGTCTAGTGTTGACCAAGTATCTGAGGCAACCAATGATGCTTCTATATTGAGTTGTGTCTACAGGAGGCTCTGTATCATACCTGCTTAGTTTACTTCTAGGTTCCATTGGTACTGAGCATGGATTGCAGCCTGACATTCCCATTTTCTCTAAGATTTTCTTGGCATAGCTTGTTTGACACATGGTTATGGCCTCTGCTTCTTGTCTCACTTCAATCCCTAGATAGTGGCTTAACAATCCCAGATCACTCATCTCAAATTGCAGTTTCATCCTCTTCTTAAAGTCTTCAATCTGATCAGCACTGGATCCAGTAACTATGAGGTCATCTACATACACCCCTACAATCAATATTCCTTCTACACACTCTTTAGTGTACACAGCATGTTCATACTTACATTTCTTGAAATTCAGTGACTTTAGACACTTGTCTAGCTTCTCATTCCATGCCCTGGGAGCCTGTTTCAAACCATACAAAGCCTTGTATAGTTTTAACACTTTGCTTGGATAGTTCTGATCAGTGAAGCCCTCTGGCTGTACCACATAAACATCTTCCTTCAATTCACCATTTAAAAAAGCTGTTTTAACATCCATGTGATGGATGCTCCATCTTTTGAAAGCTGAGAAAGCTATCAGGGTTCTTACTGTTTCTAGCCTAGCTACTGGGGCAGATACTTCCTTGTAATCAATTCCAAACTTTTGCACATACCCTTTTGCAACAAGTCGAGCCTTATATTTTGTCACTCTTCCTTCTGGATCCCTTTTAAGCTTGTAGACCCACTTCAGGCCAATGGCTTTATGATGGCTAGGCAAGTCAGTCAGTTCCCAGGTTTTATTTCTTTGAATAGAGTCAATTTCCTGTGCCATTGCCTCCTTCCAATGTTGATTTTTAGATGCCTCTTGAAAGCTTGTTGGTTCTTCAGTAGAGAGAAAGCACAATGCTGCTTCCTCCTCAGTTTCCCTAGTTGCATCATAAATCTCCTGCAATGATCTGAACTTTTGATGATCATTGTCTGACTCTGAACTTGCTTGTGATCCTGGAGTACTAGCTTGAGATGTTTGACTTGATTCACCATCTTCCTCTTCATAAGCTTCTGAAAAATTCCTTGTGTGCACAGTGAAGGTTCCCTCTAAGTCTCCTTGATCATCTTGCCCTTTCTCCCACGACCATTCCTTATCTTCTTCAAACAAGACATCTCTGCTAACTATGATCTTTTGCCTTATTGGATCCAGAAGTCTATACGCCTTTGATCCTTCTTCATAACCAAACATGACAGCTGGAGTACTTCTATCATCCAACTTGGAAATATGAGGTGTGATTACTTTAGCATGGGCAAGACATCCAAATACACGCAGATGTTGTATATTTGGTGTCCTTCCATAGATTGCTTGATAGGGTGTCATGTCCTCCAAACTCCTTGTTGATGCTCTATTGAGGATATAAACTGAAGTTCTCACAGCCTCTCCCCAAAATTTTGCTGGAACATGCTTACTCTTCATCATACTTCTGGACATCTCTAAAACAGTCTGATTCCTCCTCTCCACTACCCCATTCTGTTGAGGGGAGTATGGAGCTGTATGGTATCTTTTGATTCCTTCACTGTCACAGTATGTTTGAAAGGGAAGAGATGTAAATTCTCCTCCCCTATCAGTCCTAAAACCCTTAATCTTCAGATCAAGTTCATTCTCTATTAGAGCTTTAAACTTCTTAAAGTTCTCAAATGCTTCACTTTTGGCTTTCAAAAGAATTATCCACATGAAACGTGAGAAATCATCAACAAGTAACATGAAATACTTGTTACCTGCAGGTGTAGGAGGTGTGATAGGTCCACATAGGTCCCCATGAATCAATTCTAGTGGCTGCTTTGCTCTATATGTGGTTTGACTTGGGAATGCATTTCTGTGTTGTTTGCCAATGACACACCCATCACATACTTGATTTATGTGACTGATCTCAGGCATCCCTACTACCATTTTCTGATTTGACATTCTCTTTAATGCTTGGAAGTTCAGGTGCCCACATCTAGCATGCCATAACCAGGCTTTGTCTCCCAAGCTTAGCATTAGACACACATTTTCTCCAGTTTGCAGCTTTGCTATGTAGAGTTTGTTGCTTTGTCTTTCAACTTTAATGATGAGTCTGTTGCTATTATAGATTCTCATCAGACTTTCTTCTATGATAACTCTACTTCCATTCTTAACCAGTTGACCAATGCTTATGATGTTGCTTTTCAGTTTGGGTATGTAATAGACATTGGTTAGGATCAGGTGTTCTCCATTTCTGCATTTGAATAACACTGATCCTATCCCTTGTATATCAATAGTTGATCCATCTCCAAATCTGACCTTCCCTTTTACAGAACTATCCATGCTTGAAAAGAAATCATTTTCACCTGTCATGTGATTACTTGCTCCAGTGTCTAGGTACCACTCTGCTTCCCTTTTCTCATGCATGCATCCTGATTCTGGTGCTTGTGCAGATTGGGCTTGGTTCAACTCGCATATTTCTACCATCAGTAGTGCTGGCTCCTCTAGATCTTCCTCCTTCGTAAGGTTTGTTTGCTCATCTTTCACGTATGAGGTGCATTCAGAAGCAAAGTGCCCCATTCTCCCACAGTTATAACACTTTATCTTGGTTTTGTCAAACTTTCTCTTCTGTCCAGGTTCTTCTTCTTTTGTTTGATAACTGTTGGGAATCCTGCCTCTCCCACGTCCTCTACCTCTTCCTCTACCTCCTCTTGAGTTATATTTGTCTTCTCTTGCCCTCCATTCTGCTTGTGTGAGCAACACAGTCTCCTCTCCCTTACTTACTGAGCTTAATATCCTTTCTTCATAAGCTTTAAGTGACCCTATGACTTGATCACTTGTCTTTGTCTCAATTTCTCCAAATTCCTCAATTGTAGAGGCAAGTTGTAGGAATTTAGGTGCTGCAGATCTTAGTAACTTCTTTACAATGGTTTCTTCTTTAACAGCATTTCCCAACCCCCTTAACTTGGTAACTATGACTTGTAGTCTTCCTGAATAATCATCTATGGTGTCTTCATCTTTCATCTGCATTGCTTCAAATTCTCTTAAGAGAGACTGAGTTCTAACCTCCTTTACCTTTTCAGCCCCAAGATGCATATTCTTTAGCATTCCCCATGCTTCCTTTGCAGTCCGTTTTGCACGTAGTTGCAAAATGGTGTCTTCACTTATGCCTTGGTAGATAGCCGCTAAGGCCATCTTGTCTTTTCTTGTTTCCACTACTCCTTCGGACTCCACTGCATCCCAAACACCTTGGGCTATCATAAATACTTCCATTTTGATAGCCCATGCAGCGTAGTTCGTCTTTGTGAGCAATGGATACTTGAGTGACACAGCATCTCCTTTGTCATGTGTATTAGTTGTTTGGCTTGTCGAACTCTCTCCATCTTGTGACATGGTGGATCAGCAACCTGGAAGATCTCTGATACCAAATGTTGGCTTGCAAACACTTAAACACTCGAACAATATATGATTGGTTTCATATGTATAAGATCAAAGTGAAATATACTAAGAGATATTGACATAATTTTTCTTTTATATAATAGGGGAAAAACCCAACAAGATGTGTTGGATGAAAAAACCCCTCACGAGACACATATATACAATCACATACTGCCATGCAGTTACACAACACACACACACGAACTGGTAACCTCCCACCTTCCCTTTCTCACGTATACATGAGAGTGGGGTGGTTACCATGCACACATGACTAAATAACAATAATAAAAGAAACTTAAAATACTTATAATTTGCTATGTTAGGACAAGTTTAACTCCCACAACTATCACGCGCATGGTGATTCTAGTCATTAAATGGGATTTTTCGATACACATAGGGCATATAAGTAGCTTGAAGTTAAAAAAATTACCTTTGTGGTTTTTGATGGCATATATATATAAGAGCGACTGTAGAAGAGCTGTTTACATGCGATGTCTGGAATAGAGGAGCGCACGCTGACGTTGAACTCATCTGCCATAAACTGGAAAAGTTAGTCCATGAGAATAATTGAGCTTAAGGATCCACTAAAGGAGCGAAATTGTCACCTGGTCTCCTTGAGCTCAGGAAAGAATAAGCAGGTGGTGAGTAACTTGGCTTAACAGAAAAGCCATTCTCGTCATACACGAATGCTTCAAACGTGAAATTACCGATGTGTCTGAATAGAGCATAGCCACCCAAGAGGATATTGTTGTCTATGATGAACTGATCAAAGCCATCACAAAAAGAGAAGTTTTCAAATATGACATTCCACTGGCCAAGTCCGTGTACAAGGAGAGCCTCTGATTTGGTGTGTTCAAAGAGGTGCCTTTGCATACAACTAGGGATTTTCTAAATGAAAAATAACAAAAATGTACGTAGTTGTTAGTGAAATAAAATTAACAATAAATTACTGCAAGTTGAATTAAAAATGGTTTGAATATGTACGGCGATGTGAGGCTCTTTGATGTCAATAAGAAACCAAGCAAGTGTGAATTGGAGGACATCTGGAAAATGGACAGTGAGAGACTTTGGGCATCCTGCGAATGTGCAACAAGAATATTGAAATTAAGTAATAGGAAGGAATGATATCATCATCGTCGTCATTACCCCAATCCCACAAAAGCTTCCACCTACGGTAAGTGGGGATCGGATGTACGCAGTCTTACCTCTGTACTAAAGAATAAAGAGACTGTATTGAGAGGTACTTTAAAAAAAATTTAACCACTAGAAGGGATGTATAATTAAGTAACAAACCTGCATTGTAAGTCATGGGTAGATCTTGATGCACAAACCTGCTTAGTTTATGCTCCAACTCTGTTTTGTTTTCGAAATGGAGGGGGAATATGTGGTCACAACCAGAAGCTTTTAGAAACTTTTTCCAAGACATACTCGTGTCACAATCATAGTTGTCCGCATCTTTGCGAATGACAACAGCCACAGCAAGCCTACGGCCATGAAGGGTTTGCATAAAGTATGTGGACTTATCGATGCCTTCATCATTAGTTGTAGTTTCCACAGAATAACTGGTGAACAAATCCATTACAACTCTGCACGCAAGGGAACAATGTCAACCACAATTTATACAAATAATTCACTTAAAAGGAAACCATGTTGGGGTGCTAAAGAGCACATGAGTAGGAAAATATATAAGGGACCAAAAGTGTGGAAAAAGTTCTAAACAAGGGATGGAGTTCCCATTAGGCTACGAAAAATGGGATTCAAAAGGCTCTATTCCGAGTGAAAGAATGTTGGAAAAAACGAGAAGAAAGCAAGGGAAAGGGCTTGCCTTTGTTCACGAAAAAAGCTTCTAGTACAAAATTACATGCCGATGGGAAGTGGCAATTGGAACGTTTTATAGACGCCATTGCATATATCCCTGTGGCCGGATATGATCAAGTTTTGGTGCGGACTGTGATTTGAGCTGTAGACAGCGCAGCAGCACCATACCTGCATGCACTTGATCACCATTCTCACGTGTTTACTGTTTAGATTAAATAATTTGCCTTGTATAGCAAAGAGTATAGGACTAATATATGGTCAAATGTCAAATAGGCCGTCCTTAAGGACCTGTAAAAACCGGGCCAGGCCGCCCGGCCCGCCCAGCCCGCCCGCACAAATTAGTGGGCTTGGACATTTATATTTACCCACCGGCCTGGCCCGGGCCCGGTCCGCAATAACATATGGGCGGGCTTGGGTTAGGGTGTAGGCCCGTTCGGGCCGATAAGCCCGGCCCGCTAAATTTAGTATATACACATATATATTTTTATATATACTAATTTATGTATTTATTTACATGTACACTTGTATATTTTCATATTTACTAATTTATCTGTATATATATTTATACTTTATTATGTTTAAATTTAAGTTTTTAGTTCTTAACAAATAGTCCAACCAATATAATATCTATTTTTGTACTTAAGGACAATACTTTGTGCTTGAATTTTAAGTTTTAGATATAGTTTCTCATTATTATTTTTGTGTAAATATTTTTTGTGTATGTGATGAAAGGCCTATATACATTATAAGCATATTAGTAATTTTTTAAATGTTGTAATATTATTTATAAAGTATTAAATAAATTATATAATTTTGAAAAATTTAAAGTTTTACTGGGCCAGGCGGCCCGGTGGACTACCCGGCCCGCTCTTACGAGCGGGTATGAACATGGGGTTAGGCCCGTTTTTGCGGGCCGGGCCAGGCCCGCCCACACACGATGGGCAAAAAACTTATGGAAAGCCCGGCCCGAGCCCGGCTCAAACCCGCTTTTGTGCAGGTCTCAGGGAAGGATTTAAGGGGGGCGCGAGGGCCAACCGTCCATTTAGACTTTCAAAATTTTCTATTAAATATTATGTATGTAATATTTTCATAAAATTTTCATGCTTTAATTAGATGTATATGTGTTCGTCCCCCATGAGATCCAAACAATATAATATTGGTAGACAAAAAGTGTAATTGAAAAATATAAGATTCATGCGGTTAAACAAGGCATACATTATTTAAAAAGTATTGATGAATGTGTACATTTTAGATTCTTTTATCTTCAAATAATTTGATAAAATTGTATCCTCTTTTTTCAAATAATTTTCCTTTGATTTGCTATTTTTACGCTTTAATGAACCAACAGTTCTTCTAGAACACTTCAATTAAAAATTAAAATTATTTTTCCGATTGTTTAAACTTAGACTGTAGCAGATTTAAATGTCATGTATGTACTAATGGATTTTCTTTTAATAAAAATAAATAACATAGCCCTACAGTAGTGAAACAAATCCGCCCCTAGCCAACACTAGCACTAGCGGACAAAATTACGCCCCCGTTGACCTTAAATCCCGAATCCGCTCCAGCTTGGCACCGGAGACCATTTTTATAGGGCGCCCCCAAAATTTAGTACAATATGTAGTACTCCCTCTGTCCACTAACATTGAGAATGACGGGGTGACATAGCTATTCAAAAAAGTCAATTAGTGTGGTTGATATGGAATTGAAAAAATAAAAATTAAGTGAAAATGATTGATAGTCACACACAAAACTTTACCAGATTTGGTATGAGACAATTTTCGTGACTTCAAAAAAAGGAAAAATGGGACAATCTTAGCAGGCGGAGGGAGTAGTATTTATTAGTGTTTTAAATAGCCGTAGCGGCAGCGGTAGCGGTCATCTCGGTAGCGGCCTTTAGCGGCCTGTAGCCGCGTGTAGCGGACTAGCGGTTGCAGCGGCGTGAAATATTTTCAAATGCGCAAAACATATATTTTCAATAAAGAGATATACTCATCCGTCCCGAAAATATATTACTTATATAAACAAATTGTTATCCTTTCACAATCAAATTTTAAGAAGTGGACTATGCATTGCAACTTGCATAATGCATAATAATACCACTTCCGTTCCAAATGGTTTTGTTAAGTCACATCTTTTTTGTCAACCGATATTAAAGTTAAATCATCCTTATTAATAATTAATTTGGTTTTAATAATTAAAATTTAGATATTTATTAATATTTGCTACCATAATGTATGAGGATACATGTACATTTAATTTAGAGTTTCACTCCATGCATCACCATTAATGTATTTTTCCACATCATGCACACAACATTTACACATTTACACATCAATCAGTTCGTGATGTGCTGCCGGAAGTGCCGCTAGCGGGCTGTAGCGGGCTGTAGTGGGCTGTAGCGGGCGGCGTAGCGGAATTTTCCTGTGATTTGAAAATCACACCCTGATAGCGGCCCGTAGCGGTAGCGATACCTACCGCGACCGCTATATAGTGGCCGCTATATCGGTAGCGGGCCGCTATTTAAAACACTGGTATTTATAGGTTGTTTTTTAGATGTTATGTATTATTTCAGATTCTCAAATGTGTACAACTTTAAAATTGTCCAATTTGTGTACATTAAACATTATAAAACTTATGTTTTACTATAAAATCGTCTATATTTACTTTATTGTTAATTTTTGTATTCTTTCTATTTTAAGGGGTTTCAATTCGTCATGCGGAACCGGGCCTCCAAATTCATTACTCTTTTTCTTCTGTTCAGAGTTTGTCATCCTTGTGTCATATCCAAATATCTAGCATACTCTTATTTAAGTTAATTAATTCACATTTGCATAGTACAATTCAATTTGAGATGACATTTTGTGAAATACTCTTATTTTTCTTATTTTTATCACTACTTTAGATGACACTTTTTTATTGATATGTCATACTCCGTAGCATGTTTCAGTTAACCAATATGTCGCCAACAAATATCCGATCCATTGAAATGATATTATTTATTTTTCCTGTTAAAATGACATTAGACAATTTGACTCAACTTTTATAACTTCACCTCATGATGACATTGTTATTTGATAATCATAGTACCTACATCTTCATCACGATGAAATTCTTGTTTAAAAATGACATTCTAACTAGATCGAAAGTACACATGATATTTTAGAATGATGAGAGCACTTTAAAGTCACTCCAATTTACTCCTACAATTAAATGGTTGAAAATATATGGTCCTATTTTTGTACTTTTACCGTAATATTTTAGTCTTGTTTGAGTCATTTTATCTTTAGATTACTCAAATACAGGTGCACACACGATCTATCTATATTTTTAGGGGTGGACATTAAAAACAAATCATTAATACGAGTATTATATTATTGGTGCCGAACTAAGGTTTTAATTAATATAATAATGACTAAACAAATACTGTATCATTGGAAATGGATATAGAACCGGTTTTGATTGAATATTGAAAAATGAACAATATCGAATTGGGCCGATATAAATCAATATGTGTGAGGTTTTTATACAATGACCACACAAACAGGATTCTCAGTGGCGGAGCCAGGATTGATAGATTATAGGGGCCGGGACTTAAAGAATTTATATAGCAGGGGCCAAAACTTAAATTTTCATTATAATTTTTACTACTTGTAAATATTTATAAATATATATATATATATATATATATTACCGGAACTGCTCCCTATATTGATTGATATATATATATAGCTCTTCTCATCAGGCCGGCCTGACGGGTTGCCCCGTCCGGCCGAGCCCGTTTTGGCACCTTCCCGGTGGAATTTTTTGATGAAATTTTTTGAGCATGTTCCTCATCAAGTCTAGTTTGTCCATACCAAATTTCAGCTCAAAATTCAATCGGGAAGGTTGTCAAATGATTTTTGCAAGTTAACTGGTCCGGAAAATACATATTCCGGACCAGTTAACTTGCAAAAATCATTTGACGATCTTCCCGATCGAATTTGGAGCTGAAATTTGGTATGGACAAACTAGACTTGATGAGGAACATGCTCAAAAAATTTCATCAAAAAATTCCACCGGGAAGGTGCCCAAACGGGCTCGGCCGGACGGGGCAGCCCGTCAGGCCGGCCTGACATGAACATTCTTCTATATATATATATATATATATATATATATATATATATATATATATATATATATATACCTGGAAAAATAATTCTTGCAGGGGCCCATGGCCACTGCCAGCCTCCCCCTGTCTCCACCCCTGAGGATTCTTATTCAACCAAACATTGTTCAATTTGAGAACTTTATCAATTCACGACCCGAAAGATAGATTAATTATCAATTCAGGACCCGAAACATGAAACGTATTGGTATAAGACCCGGATGATATAATATTTAAAAATTTTAAATAAATAGAATAATAAATTTTTTGACAAATTAGGTCCTAGATTGATAGTTTTCAATCATTCAGGTCTTAAATTCATAGTTTTTCATCATTCGGGTCTTATATCGATACATTTCATCTTTCAGGTTCCGGATTGCTAATTCTTTTATTTTTCAGGTCCTGAATTGATAAAATTTTGTTAAGACCCGGGGTTCCATCCTAAAAGGTCAACCTGATAGGAGGAGTAGCCCGAATCTTAATATAGTGTTTAATCATTCCAAAGATGTCCGGTGTGGGACATTTAACACCCCTCCTCACGACCAGACACTTCGTCTGGATCGTGTCATCATTCATATTTTTTTTTCTTCATCGGCCCATTTTTTTTCATCCGGTCGTAATTTTCATTTTTTTTATAATCGTGTCATCACGATTCATAAGGGGTTCCCACACCATGAATCGATTTGGCTCTGATACCATGTTAAGACTCGGGGTTCCATCCTAAAAGGTCAACCTGATAGGAGGAGTAGCCCGAATCTTAATATAGTGTTTAATCATTCCAAAGATGTCCGGTGTGGGACATTTAACAAATTCCGTTATTTATTTATGAGAAATCGTTTAATAATACATGCGATATGTGAGAAGAATAAAATAAGTTAAACAAATACTACATAGTAGTCAATAAAAATG